AGAGTTGTGCAAGAGTCTTGCTAGGAAACAGTAACATTTGCATTTCATTATTAGCTTAGGTCTCCTCATTTATATGCAGTTTCCAATTCTTTCTGGTTGCTGCAGCTCACCAGTGACTTCACAAGTACTCTTTGTTGACCATCATTCTCCAACATCTCATGGCACAGTCCTTGGGCAGCAACCACCTCTACCCTTTCTTCACCAAAACACCCACCGCCCCACAACATCCTGATCAATCAGCACTTCAGCATTTCACCATTCCACTTTGGAGCTCACATTCATTTTATATTACGAAGCTCTTGCCAGGTCAGTCTGCACACAGGGGTACACACCTGTCCTTTGGTTCTGCACAACGTGCATCTCAGGTTTCTTAGACTTGACTTCTCAGCACTGACTCACTTTGTTCTCTCTTAGACGCTCACAGCATCTCTTTCTTGCCTTGCTTTGCCCTCAGTGCGACTGAAAGCCAGGCAACTTGTCACCGTTGCCAGCACTGAACAGCTAAACAGGCAAACATATCACTGTACGCACCGTGTTACATCAATGTCACACCTCCAGCAGGTGTCAGCAGAGTGTGCTACAACACAGTGCATGTGATTTAATCAGACAGCCATGTCTTAAGGTCTTTATTCTAGTCAAGGTGCAGTATGGCCACTTGGAGGTGTCGCCACACTCAATCAAGGATATTGTTTGATCTCAGTCTGGGGGGGTTGGCCATGATCAGTCCTGCGGATCAAGTCCAACCAGTCAGCTGTTTACACGTAGGTCAGTCGGGGTCTGTGGAGATAACAGTCCAGTGGGTGAGCTTGTTCTCTCCTGCAGTGGGACAGCGGAATGGAAGAGCTGTTAGTGGTGATGGTGATGTGTCCCTGTTGAGTGAATAAGAAGTGCAAGCTTGAAGGTTATATAATTTTGGATGATGGGGTGGATGAGAGCCATTGAAGGAAGATGTGGATGCAATAGTAAGAGTGGTGGACCATGAAACTTGGTGGGAAGGTGAGTGTGGTGGTAGAAATAGAGTAAATGTGAGGTATGGGAGAGAAGTTTGTGGCCCTCACCATCACAGAGTGGAGAGAGTCATTGGCATTCTTACAGCATGGCTGTACCATGAAAACTGCACTGACACAGCTGGCAATCTCCACACAGGTTGGCAGTGTCTGTCTGGTGCCAACCTGTGGTCTCTCAAGGATAGGGAACAGCCCTCCTCTCTACCACTTCATATCCACCAAGACCTCCAGGTCCCTGTCCGTGAACCAGTGTGCCAACTTCCCTTTCTCAGCTATCTCATTTTGAATTGTGGTCAAGCAAAACACATGGATTGGTTGTTCCTGGCTTGCAACTTTTGAACTGATGCACAGCTGGGGTTGAATATAGTGTCAGCAGCTTGAATGCCAGAAAGTCCTGGCATCTGTGAGCACTTTCACCTCTGCTCTCTACGTAATAATGCAAGGAGGGCACTGTGGAGCTATTCGTTTGCACAACTAATGAGGTGAGCAGTGGACAATTTCATGAGAAAGTCGTTGAGACTCAGAGAAAAAAAACCTCCATAAAACTTCCCAAAATTGAAACTTAGCTAAAGTGTGGGAAGTTTCAGCTTAATAAATGTATTGCTGAGATTTGCCCTTGCATTGCTTTCAAAACTATCCTTTTATTATCTTTACTCTTGAGCAGGAAAACAAAGCAAAGAGTGACCTCTGCTAAAGATCTTGGGCTTAACTCACAATTCTTTTTCCCCAGTGTAACATAGTCTCCTTGGCCTCAGATTGCAAGCCAACTTGTTTTTGTACAGTTGATTAAGCTGTGCCATATGTTCCATTCTCTTGCCCTGTGTTGATACTATTTGTATGCGTCAAGGTCACCCATTGAAATTTTTCATGTCGGTAAATGGCCAGGAAGGATGTTATCAATGTAACTCAAGCTGTTTAATCCAAATCAGGCAGCATTAGCAGGGACGTCATGAGACATTCTTTTGTTTTACAGCCAAATTTGATTTTAAACCAGACCTCTAATAATGCTTTTCAGGCTATCAACTATTTAAACAAATGGCCTCAGCAAGGAAATGATTGTGCAGCTCTAGACCAAGAGAGGGCCCCTACAGCAAAGCATTTGATCAACTTTTCTATAACTATGCTTGTGGGACCTAAACTTTCGGGAGTGTTCCACGGACCACAATAGGAAGATTTAGCCCGTGGCAGACAGAGGATCCTCCTTCCCCTCCCTCTCTGCACCTCCATAAGATCTTCTTCTCGACTTATTCAAGTCCAAAAACCATTTCTTCAGTCCATCTCTAGCAGCAGTCTGCTGCAGCTCCACACTATGTTCAGCCCATCAGCCAGCTTGCACTTCCCTCTACTTTCAAATGGGTAAGTAAGTGGAGGCGTGCACATCAGGTGCTGGAATTAAAACAATTTTCAAGTCTCACACAGCTGGGAACTGGCTGTTTCTTTCTACTGTCATCAACCCTTACCCACAGGATTTCTGCCTGAGTTCAATACAATTCAAATTAGTTAAGGTGAAAGGGCAAAACTTGCATTGACTTTACAAAAAAAAACAAAATTTGCATTTACATGGTGCTAGTGCATTTTTTTTATTCATTCACAGAATGTGGGCGATTTATTGCTCAGGAAGATCGAATTCGATTAGTCAGGGTGTTGCCATGACATTGCAGGAGAGGTTGCCAATCTCCATAACCTTTTCTTGTCCCCAGTGAAAAATACGCAATGTTTGTAAGAATTGCTTTTGCCTACATGAAACACAGGCAGGTACATCACACTGTGAGCCTGACTGATAAACTTAAATTGGTTTTCTTTGGAATCTTTAGCATAGTCTGGATTATTTAATGAATACTATTCAATTGCCCAATCTCATCTATTGTTGGACATTGTATTCTGAGACTTCCAAGCTGGATTGGTGTGCTGCACATAGTTAACAGGATGTGTTGTTACACTTATGTAGCATCTTTAACACCCCAAGATGTTTCATAGGAAAGTTACGAAACAAAATTGATATAAGGCCACACACAGAGATGTTAGGGAAGATGACCAAAATCTCATGAATACTTCTTGAAAAAGGCAGCATTTTTTCCACATGTTTGAACCATCATTTATAGAGTAAAAAGGGAAGTTCTTATCCATTCAGTAATTTCTCAAGATTTCCTTTTGCATGAAGTTCAACAGCATATCTTGTGGAGAACCTGGCTATCTCTGCTTGTAGGTTATGGCGTTTCACCTTTAACTGTGCAAGTGCAGACATCACTGGTTGCTGTCAGCTTCATTGTTTTAATGATGATGGGCACTGACAGATTTACTGTCATTACAACAGCAAAATCTAGACCATTATGTAGTCCTGTCATGCATTGAGTGAGCAGCTAAACAAAATGTACCTTTGTATAATTTGGCAGCTCTCCCTAGTTGTATTAAAAATGCATGGTGCTGACAAGATTTGACTAATCGCTTTGTTTCCTTTCTTTAAGGAATCCTTAGGGATACAAATATATGCATTTCTTGTTTTCCTAATACTGTAAAGGTGATTGATGGGCCTTCTCCAGAGTTGAATCATACCTTCTGTGCTTGAAACCATTGTCACTACATTATTGAATTTTCAAAAGACTGTTTTGCAACTCTTGTACAGGCCAGTCCAATGAAGATCAAGCAGCACTAAATTGGTTTCTGTCTATGACTGATTATTAAAGCTTGTGGTCACATTTTACAGGAGTTCATTAGCTTGATTATTATTCTCTTCTTTTTTCCAAACTTTAGTGTCTCCTGTCATGTGTCACCTCTCTATTTTTTGCTGTGTTTTACAATGCTGAAAAATTGCCTTGTCAGTTTCTCAGTCTGGTTGGAAGTAATGATCATGCACAATTAGAACAGAAATGCTCTCTACATTATTCTAAAAAGGCTGGGAACCATTTCTTTAGAGAGCATTAGGTGCCCAGAACTCATTCTAGAGAATTAAATTACTTCAATACTTAGTTCATCAGAAAAATAATCTAATTCAGTTGGTAATACAGAACATCAGTACTGCTGAAAACAAAGACAAATTTTGTTGAAGCCTTTCATATTATGCTCATCAGGAAAGTTTGTAAGAAATAACAAAGTAAAGGAAAAAAGAGATTTATACCGCATGAGTGGAGAATGCTAATTGATTGCAAGTAGGCTCTGAATTGTAGAGGCATTGCCATGAAGATTACACTAGTTAATAATGACTGACAGCTAACTGTGATGTTATGTTCACATTTTATCAAGGTAGGCTGAAGCTGATTGGTCAAGGCATTGCCTTAAGAAGTCAACCAGAGAAACACTTTCACATATTTGGTTACATTGCAATGGGTGCAATGTCCCCACATGTTCCTTCAGTCTGTAAGTGCAGGACCATGGGTATTAGTTTATGCAACTTCTGTGCACACAAGTGCATCATATTGTGAGCCCAACTAACAATACTAAACTGGTTGCCAGCATAATTCTTAGCAGAGTCAGGATTATGGAGCGAATGTTATTCGATTGTGAATCATATCTAATGTAAGATATTGTTGAGAATTTTGCAGTCATAGGCCAGTTGGGTATTTCATTAACTTACTTGTTGCAAGCAGCTGAAGGGATATAATGTTGAAATGATCCACCAGTCTTTGCAGCATATGACCTACTGTTAGGTATGTCTTCTCATACCATGTAAATATTGCTGCAGTCCATCTATTGCTCTTAAGAAGGGATATAGAACCTTTTTAGATACTGTAACATTTTTAATGTGACTTAAAACATATATTTACCTCACGTCAAACATCAAATAGCAGCATAAGACACACACATATATATATATAATATAAATATATATACAGATATGTTACTTATAAAAATAATTGGAAGCTCTCTAAAAACGTTGGTTCCAATCCTTTTAATAATAATGTAGAGAGTATTTCTGTTCTAATTGTGCGTGTTCATTACTTCTAATGATGTTCAGTTGTTACATGTATAATCAGAATTTTTTTTTTCTCTCCATAGATTTTGATCCAAGATATTTTTGGGCCTGGAGCCGCTTTCTTGATTACATCCAGTTTTGTTTAACCTTCACTGTGTTGTGCCTCTTTATTACGTACCTGCTGATTGACTCTCAACTTTATGTGGAAACTCTTGGCTTCTCAGCTGTCCTCATTGAAGCCATGTTAGGAATGCCTCAGCTTTTCCAAAACTTCAAGAACAAGTCAACAGCAGGAATGAGGTGAAAAAGTGTTCTCACTAATAAGGTTTAAATACTTTGTAAGATCTTAAGTATTTTTACAAATAATATGCTTGCTTATGTAAAAGGAAGCACCAATATTCATTTTTATCATTAACTTTTAGGTAAAGATAACATTAAGCATGGGCCAGGGATATATCCATAGAATCCATACAGTGCGGAAACAGGCCCTTCGGCCCAACAAGTCCACACTGATCCTCAGAGCATCCTACCCAGACCCATTCCACAAACCCACCTAATCTACACATCCCTGGACACTATGGGTAATTTAGCATGACCAATCCATCTAGCCTGCACATCTTTGGACTGTGGGAGGAAACCGGAGCACCCGGAGACATGGGAGAACGTTCAAACTCCACATAGACAGTTGCTCAAGGGGGAATCAAACCTGGGCCCCTGGTGCTGTGAGGCAGCAGTGCTAACCACTGAGCCACGGTGTTGCCTGTTGTAAATATAAAATGTCTGAAGTACCAAATGGTTCTTTTTGTTAGGTATAATAGACTGATGAATAAGCTCAGAGCAAAATGGATAGTGAGCTGACTTCAAGGCAGCAAACAAATAGTAAATGTTGTGTAACAGTGCAAGGATCTGAAAGGGTTAATACCGAGGAGTAACTTAAACATCACCATTATGACAGTGCCATACAGTCTTGCCAAGGAGAACAGTTTGGGATCTCAATGGGATAAAATGTACCATTGGGGTCTTCCTCTTGTCCACTGAAGCGGTGGTGGGGTTTGGGGGGTTGGTGTGTGTTGGATCCCTTCTATTTGGGCACCATATCCTCAATGGAGACTCCCCCACTTATCTTCTTGTCTAACCTTCAGTGATGATACTTAAATGGAACTGGCTGTAGTTTCAACAGGACCTATTGCCTTGGTGGATAACTGATTGTCAGGCAACTCTGAGAGGCAGGATTTCATCTTGAATGTGGGCAGAAGTCTCAGTCCGAGCCAATTAATAAACTATCAGCTGGAAAGTAGGTTGGGACATCCCAAACATGCGAAGGTGGGCTGTCCCTCAACTTTTCAGCAAAGGGTTGGGACCACCATTTCCACTTAAAATTCTGGTGTCAGATTGTCTTCTAGAGGAATGAAACATAGAAATTGTGTTAAATTTGATGTGATTCTGCTCATTACATAGGGTATATAAAGGAAGAAGGTGAAATAAAGATTTCCAAGGATAACACCAAATGTATACCCATTAAGGAACAATAAACAAGATGGGGCAATTTTATCTTGAAAAGAAAAGCCTGAGGGATCATCTTATGGACCTTTGAATAGAGGTCTTTGAAATTGTGCAAAACTTTGACGGAGTAGAGATATTGAGAATGTTTTCAATTGTGGGAAATAGAAACTAAAGGCCATCATTATGACTTAGCAACCAAGACATCAGTTAAGGACTTCAAAAGAAATTTCTGTAAATTATACAAATGTGGACCTTGCTACCACAGGTTGTAGTGAGACAAATGGTACAGATGCATTTAAAGGACAACTGGATAAGCATAGCATGATATAAACTATGATTTATATGTATATTTGATTATCAATTGAGTTGTTTGAATTTTTGCATTTAGAAGAAGTGGCATATGGATTTTTCTGTGTGTCTGAAGGAAGTAATAATTAATTTGAGTGTTTCTATAGCCATGGTGAATTTAAAAAAATTGTTTGTGAGAGCTAGTTCTCAGAACTAATGAGTTTTTACTTACCTTAGGAGTGTAACTGGACTAAACGATTGTGTCTCAATGCTTGTGTTAGAAATTTCTGGTCTTGCCTTTTTCTTAAGCATAGAGGTAACACCCATAGCTTAAAAAGGGAGATGTTTCCAGTTTTAATTTGAGTTTTGGGGTAGTTCTACAGAAGGTTGCATATGAAAGGTTACAATTGGATAATATGTCATTGTGGTTTCAAAATCTTTTAATTTATGTTATAAGGAAATAGTCTGTTATTTTGCTTCAATAAACTCCTGTGTTATAGTTAAAAACAAATCTGCAACATTGCATATTTATATTTCAGCGAGAGGCCACCTTGTTAAAACCAATAAAATAAAATGTGATTTATCAAACCACATTTCAGTCTGAGATCTAACGTGTCCAATAATGCTTAAGATGATAATAATAGGAAGAAGGAAATAAAAAGTAATAATGATAGTTAGATAAGGAAGAATGGGAGAAGACTAGAGTAGAATATAAACTGTGAAGCATAGTTTGGGTTGAATGACCTCATTCCAGGCTAAATATTGTATGTGGTTAACTATGATATGTAGAAGAACTCTTCTTATTCATTATGATGAAGGAAAGCTCCCAGAGCTTTACAAAACTGGTGAATAATTGAGCATCCCCAAATCTTGACCTTATACCAACACAACAGTAATAAATTTGTGATAAATACAATGTAGAGCCATGAAGTCACAGTTTTTATAGTATGGAAAGGGGCGCTAATCCAGTTTCCAGTAGCCTGTAACCTTGTATACTATGGTGTTTCAAGTGTTCATGTAAATAATTCTTAAAAGTCTTGATGATTATTGCCTCTACCACCCTTGTAGTCTTGCACTTGGCAAAGGAGCTATGTATTTCATTAGGGGAACAAACAAATAAATGGATTAGTGGTCTTTACAATCTTGCACCTAGTTTTTAATAATGAAAATTTTGCAAGATAATTGGCAAATTGGCGTTTCCAAAGGGAATATTGGACTGTGTATCTGTACTGCTATTTCCAGTGAGGTGTAATGAGGTGGCATAAAACTAAATAACAACACATTGGTTGTATTTTGTTGTATTTTTGCTATTGGTAATAAACTCAGCATTCTGGTTCAGCCACCTGCTATGTACATCTCTCAATTTTGCTTTCCATTGAAACCAATATAAAGTTAAAATGGGCAGGATTTGTAATGAAACAAACACAGAGAACACTGGAAAAACTTGGCATATCTGACAGCATCTGTGGAGAGAGAAATTTAGTTAATTGTTTGAGAACAGTTCTGAAAAAGAGTCATACCAGACTTGAAACACTAGCTCAATTTCTGTCTCCACAGTTGCTGTCAGAACTGTTGAGTTTTGTCAGCATTCAGGGTTTGTTTCATATTTCTAGCATCGGCAGTATTTTGCCTTTATTCGAGGATATGAAATGGGAGAGATACCAACATCCGGGTTTCAACAAGACCGCATCTGCTTATTGATGAAATATTTCTATTTCTCTTGGCTAGACTGCATTCAAAAAATGGACAAATATTTTGAACCCTGAGGTTGTTACAGCTTAAGCATTTAGAATTTTATCCACCTTGTGCCAAATTTCACTGTACAGATTGCAGATTTATGGATGAACAATCCATCACATTGGAATCTCTACCAGTGCATTAATCAGGCAACTATGTTAATGATAGGAACGCAATTATTACTGCACTGTAGCATTCTATATTGAATAGCAGCTACACAACTTCATATATGAATTTCAAATGCAAAGTTAACGTCCTTCTAATAAGACCAAATTATTGAAGTGCGCATTATGAGATATCTCTTGATGTCTTGTCTGGCCTTTTTGACACATACCTTCTGAGCCATGAGTTCAGTCAATGTGAGATATCTATCTTACACTTGTGTCTGTCTGCACCTTGTTCCTGTGCCATTCAGTAATTTTTAAAATCTCCTTCTAAATGTAGTTCAGTGATAGCTATCAGTAGGCCAAATCCCATCATGTTTTTAAGGAGTAAAGCCTATGATGGTGCAATGCTTCCTCAGAATAAAAGAGCATAGAAGGTTCAATTGAAAGCATACAAACCAAATATATTCTTTCTTGCAACTTTCTCAAACTGTGAAGTTCAAAGCATTTACTTCAAGAGTAGATTGCCCTCCAAAGATACAAGTCATAATTGAAATGAGGTACAACTAAATTAATATTTCTTAAAATGCCTTACTTACCAAAATCAATGAACATCAATGTGTATCTCTTCTATATGTAAAAATGTATCTGAAAACTTCAGGAAATATATTTTTGCCAAATCTACAATTGACACACTTAAAATTGCGTTGATTAATAACTAAATATGGATATCTGGTAGTTTTTTTAAACTTTTAATTACAAATAATCTGCTTTATTCCTTTACCAGTTGAATAATAAAATTTTGTACCTCAATTAATTAAATAAGGCATATTCTGATTTTATTTTGCATGTTGTGCATTATTCATGAGACACAGAGCTGACTGCTGGAATCAGTGATAAAATACTAAAAGATTAATATTTTAGCATAATTATCTTTATTGAAAAGAACATTTGCGACCAAATAAAAAAGTTAAGTCTAAATACAAGCTTATTTCTTGTAAAAATAGTAACAAATGTTTGTGCCACTGGTTTAGAAAGTTTGTTCCTGTCAATGGACTCCTACCTAATGCTTTATTGTGATGCTGTGACATAGCAATATGGAGACATAGTCTTCTGAGTGAAATATTGAATTCAGATTCTGTTTGTTCCTTTGGATAATAAAAATACAACACAGACCAAAGAGGCTAGGAATTGTTTCTTGTATCCAGGCCAATATTTTTGCAGAACTTTCTCCTCCGCCCTACCAATATTATTTTTGCTAAGTAATTGTACTGTTCTGGATTTTCTAAGATGTTGAAATGTTTACAGATTATCTCCAATTATGTAGTTTACTTCTGTCCACGTTTTAGTTACATTTCGATGACAGGTATAGCAGGCCAGATAATTGAAGTGATAATGACAGTGAAACTGTCAGTGTTTCCTGTCATTAGTCTACTGAGAGTGACAGCTGCTTTGGGAATCTTCAGTCTCCACAGCAAGCGTGATTTGATGAAATTTCTTTTTTTTTTCTGTTAGACATGCTGCAGAAAACCCTTGAAAAAGTTGCACCTTGTTAAATAAGTTGAAACTGATTTTTTAACAGCATACTAACTTCATAACTGTTATTAAATACCCTCACTGGCACTGAAAAGCTTATTTTGTTTATGTGGAATGTCAAATTTCTCCCAA